TTGTCCGTGTATACACATCAGAACACGGATTTCAATGACTAACCCGAGATCAAACAGTAAAACATCGAAGGGTCGTGTTAGACGGTTTAAAATTGCTTAGAGGGAATACTTTGAGGCCTTAAAGACAGAACTTTTAAAGAGACTCAGTCAAGGGGTTATTCAGGTTGGAATTCAACTGGTCTGCTCCACTTCGTTGGGGTACCTTCTGTTAATATAGGCTGTGATTCGAGGTGTTGCAGTTTTTCCAAATTTTATAGTTTTAAATCTATCCACAAGACTTCCAACTGGGTGGGTTCGTAAATGGTAAGCACCCAAACTTTTTGGTGACCGATTTCAAGGAAAAAAGCACAATGTTAAAAATAAACCCCCGATACTTGTATATGTGGACGGACAAGACTAAAAGGATCCCTAGCAGGGAACGCATGGCCAAGAAGACCTTAGAAATCAGAGAGAAAGGAATATCATTCTGTTTAAAATTTCACTCATGTGGAGGGTACCTTTACAAATATTTACCTCAGATTCAATACTTTAACATCCATGACATTTTCACCTTTTGAGTGGTAAAACTCTCTTAGCTGACAAAAAAGTGAGAAATATAAAATTTTTGTTAAATAAATTTTCAGATCGGGCTTTTTCTTACGTCCTGCGACTATGGGCCCTAACTTCAAAACAGGTCTTGATACGGCAGCCAAAATTACTCAAAGAGTAATGTAATCATCATTTCCAACATCTAGACATAACTTGATTGACAAGATAACGTATTTTGACGTCATTACGGCCACACAGTGTTGAACTTAGACAGAGGACAAATTACATGAAATTTTAACCCTCAAAGCGAAAAATACTAAAATAGTATATGGCGTCTGACAAAATCAATCAATCTTTAACACTAGCGCTAATGTAACGATGACGTCATTTATTATCAAGGAAGGATCTGGTACCACTGATCTGGAGCCATTCCCGGTCTGAATACTTCAAAAAGTAATTATCAGCAGCAGCAGTGTCAGCACTACCTTTAGTAATGCGTCGTTCAGGACGTATTACGAAGGAAAGTTCGTCTAGACACATAATGCGTCTTGAGCCCGTCTTTATACTTGAGACGCATAACGAGACGAACTACAAATGTTTGCCCAAATTCGTCCAGACGGATAATGCGTCCTCTAGTATAAAAACGGCCATTCCCAGTCCAGTCATTCCTGTTGGGAATTAAGGAAGGGGGGTAGTTGAAATCATGACTTTGAAGGGGCTAGGACTTAATTGAAAGAGGAAGAAAATCACAAATATAAATATTGTCATGGTTTTAAAGGCACATTAATATGGTCTAAGTAACAGTAAAAAGGTTTGCAACGGATTCATCTTCTGTAACAAACAATTTTATGATTACAACATTTACCATTCCTTCAGTCTCATTAGCACATTCTACGTAGCTTTTGCTGCTGTGATTGGCCATTGTTTCTTTCCATGCTTTCGTTGGAAACCTTATCTTGCAGTTTATATTATCAGCTGAAAATAAAACACCTCGTTGTTAGTGTAAAAAGGTAATTGTTTAATTCCACCGAGTATAAAGGAGACATTGGACACAAAGGCTTAAGGACCCAGCTTGAACGTAATTTCAGGAGACTTTCCCACTAGCATAGGACTCTTTCCCCTGGTGCCGTCAACTCCATTTATTGCGGACACTGTAGGGAACTAGAGTTAGTGTCCCCATTAGCGAGAGTCTATAATAGCGAGAGTTTATTTCAGTCAAACATCTGTAATTTGTTTCTGCCGGGGATTTATCTGCTAACTGTTGTCAGGGTTTCAGTTATAGCGGGGTGTCCGCAAGGCGAGAGTTGACTGTATTTCGCCCTCTAAATACCTGAATTCTTGGCCTTCCATTTCGCACGACAGTCTCAACGATCTGAAAGTCTCGATCTTAAAATCTCGATTTCCCATGAATTTAATTTCTTAGACTTGGACGACTCTGTAGAGATGACCAAAACATTCCCAAGAATTCAGACGAATGGTGTTTTAACTTGGCTATTTCGACTCTGTCACCACACGTCGCGCTATACAAATAGATCAACAAATAGAATCACACCAGCTCGACACTTCAATCTCGCAAAACATTCCAGCTTTCCAGCCAAAATGACTAGGAATCTGCGATCTTTCTTTTCCTCGTCACAAAGGTAAAATAGAAAGCCACTTTAAAAATCTTAATTGTAGAACAAAACTTGAACCATTGTCGGTTAACTGATCAAAACAGCATTATTATTTACCTTAATACGTTTCTACCAATAACATAACTCCAGCATCCGGCATATAAATCAAACACAAGGAACTATACTCTGATTAGCTCTGACGAAGCAGTTGGGTTAACGCTTTAAATTTGAGCTTTTCAATGTCTCTACGGAAGAAAATCTTCCTTGCCAATTCAGTTTATAAAATCAAATCTTTATGTTTAAACTGGCCATATAAGTATTCCACCCCCGCCAGTCCTCTTCGAGGGATTCCAAAACCCAGTTAAAAAGGAAAGTGGGTGTCCAATTAATAAGCGATTTACTTTTCCTAATTCGACAACAATATAGCATTGAACTTAACAGACCTTGACAAGGATTAGGGTTGCAAGATTGGCTCTCTGTTGCTGAACCCTCACAGTCTCTTCCACCATTAGCTGGCTCAGGATTGTTACACAGTCGTTTTCTTGTCTTGGATCCCCCATTGCATGGCTTGTTACAGTTTGGCCATGAAGACCAACTGTTCCAGTTACCGTGAACTATAACGATAGTCAGAACACTTCAAGAATATTTCATGCCAGGAGGTTAGTAAATAACAGATATCCTATGACTAAACTGGGCCTTCCAAAGGGCTTTCGGGGGAACAAGCGAAAATATTCATTTACTAAACGGATTAATGGCTATCTTGTTTTAAGAACAGAAGAACTCAGCTATTTTGTTCGGCGGGGGGGGGGGGGAGGGGGGGAAGAATGCAGGGAGGGATGTATAGAGGGATACATGGATGTTTTAATTGATGTATGCATGGATGAATGCAGGAAGGGGTGCAGGGATGGATGGAAGATTGCAGGGCGAGGTGGAGGGCAGGGGGGGGGAGTGGTTGGAGGGATGAGGATGTATTCATTGATGTATGCATGGATGAATGCATGGATGGGTGCATGGATGCATGGATAGATGCATGGAGCGGTGGATGGACGGGTGGATGTATGGATGGATGGATGGATGGATGGATGCATGTATGCATGCATACATGCATGGATAGATGGACGGATGGATGTTTGGATGGGTGGATTGGTAGATGAGTTGCAATTGATGGATAGATGAGTGGATACATGGACGGATGGGTGGATAAATGAATGGATTTTTTGGATGGATGCATGGTTGGGTGGATGCATGGATGGGTAGATGAATGCACGGATAGATGGATGGATGGCTGAATGGATGGATGCATGCATGCATGCATGCGTAGGTGGATGGATGGATAGATGGGTGGATGGGTGGACGATGGATGGATGGATAGACGGATAGATGGGTGGATAGATGGATAAATGGGCGTGTGGGTGGGTATGTGGATGGGTAGATGGGTAAAAGAAGAGACGAATCGGTAAGGTAAAAAAGAATAATCCTTTTGACTGCGAGTTACCTAGTGGGTAAACTGATGAGGTCTGTTGAAGTGGAGAAGCAAGTAATGTCGTTGACGGTTGTGGCGTCATTAATGGCTGCCACGGAGATAATGTGGCTGGCGATTTTGCCAGCGGTGGAGTTGAATTGAGAAATGATTGGAATAGCTGATTCGGAAGGGACAGTGTAGCATTCTGATGTTCTGGCCATCGCGTTAGTGACAATGTCTGAACCGAAAGTGATGATGGTATGTCTTGAAGATGTGATGATAGAACTGAAACTAACGGCTGCACTGTAAGAAACGTAGCTTTTGGTTGAAGTTGAGATTGTGATAGTGAAATTGAAGTTAGAGATAGAGCCGTAAGATGGAACGCAGTTGGTCGGTATGTTGATAATTTCAGTAATTGCGACAGCTGATTTGGTGGAGGTGAAGCTTGTGAAGCAGTTGATAAGGACTGGACAGCTAAGTTTATTGAAAGAAAAAAAAAGATTTAAAATTAATCACAAACACATCAAGATTAATCAATTAATGACTAATGACGTATAAGCTTATTATGTAGGTTGCTCAATGTGATAGTTAAGTATGGTTCTCTGGCACTGGTTCTGTTATGTTTAGATTATTATATATACATTCAGTGATCTCGATCGCTGTTTAAGTAATCTCGCTAATTTATCTCACAGTGACCACAACCTACTTCCAGGTAGACTTGCAAGTAGACGAATTTCACCAAAAATTAAAGTTCATCAGGGGATGAAAAAAAAGTGAAAGTAATTTTTTTCGAAAATAAAGAAGGCAAAGAACGATACAGAAAAACAACGCCCATCGATCTTGATCGCAGCCGGATCGCCAAGAATGACGCGACATATCCCGGTAACTTTAAGCGCACTCCGAGTGCCATGTTTGAAAAGATAATCTACCAACCGAAGTCAAAACAAAGAGAAAACGGACAAAACTGGTCAGGGTGGCTCACGGTTTCACGTTTATGCTCAAACTACATAAAAAATTCGAAGTGTCAGCATGTGGCGTTTGTCGAAGAGAAGTGAAAAAATACTTAAACATTGTTGAATTTTTTTGTTTTTTTTTTGTTGGTGTTGTTGTTACTGTCATTGTGGAGGTTCTGGCTATTTTACTTTAAAAATTGACTATTTCAGCCTTAAATTAGTAGGGTAATTCAAGTTTGAGGCTGGCTATTTCTTGGGCAAGTGATTTTATTAATACATATGGCTATGTTAGCCGGACACTTAAGGAAGCCTAACCGAAATTTTGATACGATTGTGTTGTTTGAAAGTATTACTCAGGAGTCTTCAGTCCTCGTTTGAAACTCGCGCCTGAATATAAATGACACTTATACAACAAAGGTTCTTTACTTGGGCCAGTATCTGGAACATAGGCCATGATCGCAAAAAAAAACATTCAATAATAGGGAACTTAAGAACCACGAGGAAGTTCACGACGAAGACGTCTGTTGACTGGGAAAAGACTAGAACGAGAACGTCAGTTTCGTCGAGAAAAAGGAAACTAAAGATGCAGTCGGTCGGTAGGTCAACGACGACGACACTGAATGTAAAGTAAATGTAAAACTGTGATGTTCGTTCGCAACAAAGGTTTTCGTAGTGGCGTCTTTTAAAACGATGCAAGATCTTATTTTTTGTAAGCCGTACGTCTAATTTTATCGACGATGAAGAACTTTTTGCGTTGTCTGACCTTTTCGAGTGGAAAAACACTTACTTTCCTTACGAAATTATTCAAATTTCAACTTGAATGAGATGACCGAGTCCGAGTGTCAGAATTTAGATTTCGAAAAATACACATTCTGATGTGATAGCTGTTTTCCATATAAAGTTTGTTTCCTCTATATTAAAGATACATGATTTGCCTTACCTAAATACGTACAAATAATTTTATCACTTACGAGTTCGCTCGCTCGGTCTTCACAGCTTTTGTCATTCTTCGAAGTAAAAATCAGTTCATTAGTCGAATTTTCAATTAACATCGCTTGTTAGGAGAAAAAAAGAAACGATACCTGGATTTACGAGGATACGAAAATGCAAAGGACTTAAAAAATCGCTTAAAACAGTGGATTTATACCTGCCGAAGCTTGTGGATTGCAGGACGACGTGATTCTAACTTGTTTGGCGTCGTCGACGACACCACGACGACAAAATTTACTAGTCGCGCTTGCGCAGTACACTGTAACTCACTTCCGGTCGTCGTCGACCAAGTCGCCGTCGGGGTTCTTAAGTTCCCTATAATGATACGTAAAAGCCGTGCTGCTTACTCGTTGGCTTTGACATGTCGCTCATAAGTGTATTTTAACAGAGTAGCTGAATTAAAACTTGGCATTGTGATATGTTGAGATCGATCCAAATTTAAATAAAAATCTCACAAAAACAATGTTCCCTCAAGCGTTCATGATCCGGTGCGTGGTTTTAGCTTCTTTGCCGACTAGGACTTTCAAGAGGAATGAAATTTACTTTACTTCCCCATCTTCCAGTGTCTTCATTTGCGAGGAGCGGCACAAGAAACCTTTTCACTGAATTAGCGAGTTTACCCAGAAGTAAATAAAGCTCTACATTTTTTCACAGATGAAAACGTTTGACGATTCCTTTTAAACCGTTGACTTTATAGTCGGTTGACAAAAGGATTGAAACTATCATGATCTGCAATGTTTGAGAATTCTGTAAAACTCTAACTTTTGCTCAAATATTGTTTACTGCTTTATGCACATTTTCACACTTGAACTAGTGAACCGTCAATCAAAATAACCGATTTATTTTTAATGATTCTCTTTCTGATTCCGTTGAGATCACTTGTTGTGTATGTATTTAAACAACTATTTTTTCAGTCTCCTTGAATAGTGGCATTAGTAATTTTTACCTCGCCACCATTCACCTCGATTTCAAGGAATATTTAATCAGATTGCTTAAAAAGCTAAGAGATATTCTCACCAGTAGTGCTGTATATCTCCGCTCTTAAGCAGTTCCAAATATGCTGACTTATTGAGTGAAATTTAATGCATTTTGCAGACACTGGCACACGAATCAAATCCGTGAGCCCCAAATTAAACATTGCACAGCTTGTAACGCAGAATTGCATTCATATCCTGCACGTATCTTTTGAGGGAGTATTTTTGCTGTTTGCACTCTAACAGGAACGTGATTGTGTCTTAATCATTAGGTATAAAGTTAGTTCCTTAGCTCTATCTTCTTATACTCCCCGATGAAGTCTGAGTAATCAGACGAAACCGGTTGGAGGAATGAAACAAGTTAACAAGATACTCGCGTTGCTTTGTGTTGCTAACTAAATTAAAGAAAACTGTATATGAAATAGTTCTGAGCGAGGGCTGCCCGGCATTTAGGAACTGCTGGAGCTTGACATTGTAACGTGTATGCCTGTTATGAATGTCTGATCTCTTGACAATTTATTGCTGAGCTAAGCAATTAATGGATTTATACAATAGGGAAGCATCCCTGAACTGAAGGAGAACTGACACTGGCAAGAATTTACGCCGTTGGAGTGTAGGAGTTATATGCCCAAATTTCTCTTTGCCAGATAAAATTCTGGCTTCAATGCTTTGAACTTATTGAAGCCTGGCAATGTTCCTTTACTTGTGCCTGCCCAAACCGAAAAACAATAGAATAATTTACTGAAAACATTTGCATTCACAGTACACATTAAGGAAGGGAAGTCCAACAGTTGGCGTATTCCACTCATAGCGATTGCGCAGAGTTTTCCAAAAAGGTACGAGACCATGGTCGTAAAACGACAGGTGCTTATCAATAACCACCCCAAAATTTTTACCTGCATCTATTGGGGCAAGGTCTTTACTTTGGAAAACAAGAAAGGGCACTAACGTCCTTCTTAGCATTTGTGAATATCCGAAACACAGAACTTCGTTTTGACTGGGTTTATCAATAGATGGTTGGCGCAGCACCATGAAGCTACGCGTCGCAGATCATGTTGAAGAGCGTCGAGACCGGCATCAGTCCCTTTGTAAGAAAAAGCTAGGTAGAGCTTAGAATGATCCACGTAAGACTCCATTTTACTAGTAGTGCTCACAGACGGGATATCATTTGAGTACAAGCTAAACAACAACGGGCCGAGGATAGAGCTCTGCGGTACTTCGTGCTTTATCTTTAGTCGAAGTGAAAGTTTGTTGCTAAAACGCTCACGTTATTGTCTGTTTAGCAGCTAACTAGTGAACCAATCAAAACGTTTCTGCAAAGAGTTTCCGGTATCGTCAAAGAACCACTAAGTGGCTGTGTTATAAAAATTTTTCAATTTAAAGAGAGAGAAACAGGCGGGTAATATGTTTCCAGAACAAATAATTGATTTCTATACAAATCAGAATAAAATAGCGATTTGCATATTTACTGCAAAACCTAAAAAGTTGAAAGCTGAAAAGAGTGAACCAAGTTATTGATTTTACCTTGAGAGCTACTTGAAAAAACCACAGACGAAGGTGACTGCATTGGTGATGATGAAGGTGACCATGGCAATGGGTATTGTGTTAGTAATGATGGTAATAATGAAGATAATGAAGATGGTGATGACGGTGATTCTGATGGTGTATGTGAGGGTAAGGATAATGGTGATAATAGTGGTGGTGACGCTGACGTTGATGGTGATAATAGTGATGACGAAAGTGATGGTAATGGTGGAAGTGATGATGATGGTAATGATGATGGTGGAAGTGATGATGACGGTGATGATGATGGTGGTGATGATGGAGGTGACGATAATGGTGATGGTGATAGTGATGATGAAGGTGATGATGATGGTAATGGTGATGGAGAAAGTGATGATAATAATGGCGATGGTGATAATGGAAGTGATGATGATAGCGATGATGAAAGTAATGATGATGGTGGAAGTGATGATGATGGTGATGGTGATGGTGGAAGTAATGATGATGATAGTGATGGGGATAGTGGAACTGATGATGCTGCTGATGATGATGGTGGTGATAATGGTGATGATGATGGTGATGGTGAAGGTGACGATAACGGTGATGGTGATGATGAAGGAGACGTTAATGGTGATAGAGTTGATGATGATAAGAGGGATGATGAGGGTGATGGTGAAGCGCTTGTGTCACATCGTTCTCCGGTAAATCCTGTAGGGCAGGTGCATTGAAAGTTATTTGAGCCACTTGTACAAGTACCACTGTTCACACATGGTGTGGAGGAGCAATAGTCGACTGATGAAGGAAACAAATTATTTGAAAAACATCATATAACATATTGAGACAAACTCTCGGAAAAAAAATCGAGTTTTTCATAAGTGACGAGAAAAGTGATTAGTGAAAAAGAAAACTCGTCCTTATTCCCTACCATCTCTACATTCATAACCATTGCCGTTGTCTGCCAGATAACAGGTTTGACCATCGGGACAATTAGCACCAGCACATTTGTCATCTAAAGGAAAAAAAAACCAAAGTTTATAACTATTCTATTATTATAACATCCATATAACATCCCCAGTTTTTTCGTGTTATTATTCATTCAAAGTATTTCTCCTTTTCTAATAGGTTTAAATCCCCCGGCTAATTTATTAACATATAGATTTAGCCAGGGCTAAAAGCGAAGCTCCCATTAATAAATTTATAATTTAAATCAAACAATAAACTTGTATTCTACAACTCATTCCGGTTTTCCGGGCTTATTTATAGTATAGAGGCCCTTGAAAATCGCTTTTAAAAGCAATCAGTCTCGTCTTATAGGGATTAAGCATCAAGCAATTATCGAAACACCAGCGGCGTATCCGTTGTAAATCGGAATTAACACATTCTCTAGCACTCTAGCAAGAGTAGAGTAATTCACAGTAAAAGACAGGAGAAGCTTGGTGTCATCCATGTAGTACTCGGTTGAGTAATGTTGATAAACATTTGGTAGGTCATTTACATAAATACTGAATAGTAATTAATGCTGCCAGAACGCCTCACTACGGTATACCACGGACTACTCAGGGAGCGCTTACCATATGTATGGAAAACCCGGAATTTCCGGGGAGAATTCAAATGAAACTTTTCATCCCGTTGGAAATTGTCCGGAAAGAAGTAATACCTTTCGAGGTATTACCTTTTTCCCGTTCTTACCGAAACGACCGAAATTAAATTTTCTGCACCATTTGTTTGGATTACCAGAGCCAGGCATCATGTCGAGAGAAAGTAAAAAATTTACCGGTCTTTTGTAAATGGTACATGGTACAACTCAATCCCGTTCCTGTTTTCGGTGCCAAAAAAAAAAACAGTACCATTTGGCGGAAATTTTTTACCGAAATTTCCGTGCAAATGGTAAGCGCTGCTGGTAATTTATTAGATAAAACAGAGTTTATACGGACTGCTTGATATCTCTGAGAAAGACAGCTTTCGAAAATTAGAGTGCAGAAGCTGATAAAATTTAGTAGCCGCTAATTTATACAACAGGATAAATTGGAGTTAATGTGATAACCATAAACTCGCCCTTACCAGTAGTGAATCAGCTAACTTCCTTTCAGAGGTCACTTCCTGCTTGTGACCCCTGTCACACTAATTGTTTCGCTCAGCCAATTAGATGCCAGCTATCACATGTACAGTTGATGCCTATATTTTCGCGCCTAGCTCAGCAAAATAGCACTTCATATTCTTCTCTTCGTGGAACAAAATGTTTGTTACTTATAGCCTGGATTTTTTCTTCATGAATTGGAATTTTTGCTAAGCTGTAATGACGAGATCACCGTTTAGGAAGAGCTACCTTGGTCTTCTACCTGCATACAAGCCGTACGCGTTTGAGTTTTTCTGGACAGAACTTCCACGAGGAGATGTTGCACCGCCGCTCTTGGTCAAACTCCGTCCTTGGAACATTTATCTACAATCGTGCAACCCTCCTCTCGAATGTCGCTGCTTTCTCCTCTTCTTGAACTTTCGATATCCTCTCGCATGTACCGTCACTTTAGCCGTTTCGACTCTCTCGGCTGGCACGTCACAGTCAAGGTTCCTCCGCAGCAAATCATCTTAGCCCAGTGTGTCTTCCTTTGGGATCAGAGTTGCTCTCTCATGATTCAGGTGCGGTATTTTTCTGGTCTGTCGATAGTTAACTTAATATTCTTATTATATTGTGCCTCGAACGACATCTGTGTTTGCAATATTGTGTGCATGTGACTGTACTGAGCGCTTTCAGACATGGAAAGTTATTTTTGAGTTCACTTATTATTATGAAGAAGGACTTGGCGCCGCGGCCTCTGAAATTCAGTTTATTCAAGTCCCGGGGATTCACGTATGCATGTCCGTGCTTTTATGATGCACTTACTATGGAGTAAGAAAGAATACGGACTGTTAAAATCAAATCTGTGACGATTGGGTCTTCGAGGTTTTTTCAAATAATGGATTGAATTTCAGTTTTAATTCTTTATTCACATCTAACATATTATGAGTTGAGAATGATACATGACAGAAAATCATCAAGGTCGGTTTCATGCTTCGCACGTGCAGACTGCTCGTTTAAAAAGGCGCGTTTTTACAGTATTCGAAAATCAAAAATTTCCTTCGTTCTCCGGATCATAAAGAGGAATTATTGCTAGTTTTCAGTGTCACGCCATTCAAAATAGATTAAAATCAAAATCAAAACCGTTCAATAGATAAAGTCCAGCATCTTGGAAATGAAATGAGGTACATATACAAAGACCCTCACCAAGACTCAGGTCAGAGGAATATTTCGTATACGAGATATCCGTAGAAATGTTTTCCCTAAACTTACAGAGATTTGTATGGAGACGCCATGCAACATGGCGGACGGAAACTAACCGAGAAACATCTGTTACCGAGTTTTGCTACAAAAGGGTGAATTTATCCTTCAAGAAACTCATAATCATGAAAGTAATACTTTTTCTAATACATGAACTGTTTAGATGGCAAAATTTCCTGAAATAAGTCATTTTTTAAACCTACATGACAGCTCTTTTGGCCGTCATGTAAATTCCGCGTCACGCAAAAGCTTAGAAATTCAAGCGCATTCTATCACAAAACCAAGAACCCTTTTGACGCGAAAATTTGTATGAAAATTAGTTTTCAGCTGCTCTAATGCATCGTGAAAGTAAAAATCTCGGTAGGATAGTGACGTCATGTAAAAACCAGCAATAAGCTAAAATTTTCAGGGATTACCACCCCTCAGGGCCTGGGAATCAGGACCCCAGAGAGAGGGTTAGGACCCCCCTTTAGCCTGGTTGTTGTGTTGTTGTTGCGTGATAATGTTTTTATTGGGTGAGTCCTCTCGTTCGGAGCTCACCTTTCTTGTTGTGGTTGTCCCCAGGGGGCCTGGGAATTAGGATCCCAGAGAGAGGATTAGGACCTCTCTGTAGCCTGGGGACTTGATGGCTTGTTGTGGTTGTCCCTAGGGGGCCTGGGAATTAGGATCCCAGAGAGAGGATTAGGACCTCTCTGTAGCCTGGGGACTTGATGGTCTGTTGTGGTTGTCCCCAGGGGGAAAACATATAAGCGCAGATATAAAAAAAAAAATAAAAATAAAAATTAACAAATAATAATAATAAATAAAAAATAATAAAAAATACTACAAAAAAAACACCAAACAAACAAAAAAAAAACAAAAAGAAACAAAAAAATAAATAAATAAATAAAAAATAAAAAAACAAGATAAAAAAAAAATACCACAAAAAAAAAATACAGAAATACAAAAATACAAAATACAAAAAAAACAATCAGGACCAGGATCAGGACCCCAGAGAGAGGATTAGGACCTCTCTTTAGCCTGGTTGTTGTGTTGTTGTTGCGCGATAATGGTCTCATTGGGTGAGTCCTCTCTTCTGGAGCTAACCTTTTTTCTTGTGGTTGTCCCCAAGAGGCCTCGGAATGTACTATTGTCATTGTTTCAATAATTGGGTTGAAACCATAAATTATACAGTTACTTTTGGTAGCTTACAAACAACAACCATGAGCATGTGTATTCCGATTTATTGATAAAGCATTGTTTAAAAATTTTGTCAATATATATTGGGTTCTCACATCTCAGTATCTGGCCCTGACTTGATAGATACACCAGTTGCATCCATATTGTGTAATTAGTCAACTAATTGTGGTTAATTCACAGACTGATCCTTTGTTTTGTTGTTTTTTATTGCATATCTCCTCATCTGCTGTGGAGGAAGTCTTAGGCCGCTGACCAACTTTCTGCTGTTCCTGGTTAAGTCCTCAGCTGATACCTAGTCCATGGGACATTTGCCCAGTCTAATCTTACACGCAATGTCCAAGTACCATGTGACCATTGTTTCAAGTGACATTTGACTCTGGAAATAGCCCTACAATTCCTGTTATTCGTCTATGGGGAATACCCCTTTGGGGTATTTGTGGGGATGAAGTGCTCCCATACAGGTCACACTTTGCCCCATAGACTCTTGTTACTCCTTAAACTGGGGAATTAGACATCTAGAGAGGTCTTTCCACCTCTCCAGTACCCAAGGGGGATTATCACCTCCACTCACAACCTTGGGGGATTATCAACCCCTAGAGAGGATTATCACCTAGCTTCTCACTATCCTGGGGGATTATCACCCCCAAGAGAGGATTATCACCTCTCACTATCCTGGGGGATTATCACTCCCTAGAGAGGATTATCACCTCTCCCCTTGTAGATTTCGGACTGTTACACCAATATGTAGAGAAAAGTGACCTGCTGTCCATATTTGGAGTACTTCATCCCTTACCCCTTTTTTCCCCATAATAATTCTGGTCTAGTTACTTGCTTTATCTAAGGGGTTATGGGTTTAGAGCATTAACAAATATATTAATCTTATGTTAAAAAACACAAAAGAATTACTGAAAATGTAACTTGATAGAAAACGTTTGATTATTTAATTTTGCGTGAATCATTATACTTAGACGTTATTTTTACCTTATTGTATACTAAAGACCTTTATTGTTAACAGACTGATACCTCTTTATTACTGTTATTGTTACTTACTTACTCACTCACTCACTCACTTAATAACTTACTCACTTAATCACCCACTCGCCCATTAATTTTCTTACTTACTTACTCACTCGATTAATTAATTAACCAAGAAATGAATTAAATTAATTACCTTCTTACTTACCTTGTACCCCGTTGGTACAATAACGCCATCCATTACCGTTGCCGTTACAGTCCCTGAATTTAACAAGCTTGTACAAGTAAAAAGCACCGCAGTTAACAACATCTATGGATTGGGGATTATTGCAGGTATTAGCCCCTGTATGGCCGCATACTTTCCTTTGCACAATGCCTTCACTTGGGATAGGGTGACTTTGAGCGAGGTAAACTTGGACTTTTGTTCCACAATGCCTCTTTGCAGGGACTGTTTCAGCTGCTAACGCATTTCCAGCACCCCCTGACACTCTGTACCAAGATTCCCACCCACCTTCAAGGTCGTCAGCGTCACATTTAATATCACTTGTTCTAGAACTCACTGTGCGATCACTTTCACTAAGATGTCTGTAATTATTATCGCTACAGGGGTCACCTCCTAGCAATGGAAGACAAAAACAGGTTGAGTTACTGAAAGAAAACAATGACTTCCAACTGCAAAATTAAAAATACTTTTAGTGGCCATTACGGGAATTATGCATGTCTAATGTTGCAATTTAAGTATAAACTGTAACAATGGCAATCAAGCAAGGTCCCTGGGCCTGATTGGCTAAAGAGGCCCATCCTGACGTTTGGGATTTCCCGCTTTTCCCCACGAAAACAGACTTTGTTCATCCACGTCTTCGCAACTGCTTTAAAACTTGCAGCAACTGTAGCTTTTCACGAATGGTAAAACCGAAAGCTGGGAAGCATGAATCCTGAAACACGTTATAGCTTGCCTCAACTTTTGCGAAAATGAAGTCAGACAAGGACGCAAGGTACAAACAAACAAAGTCTAGACCTGGTTATATGTTAGACACGATAGATATCTGTTGTAGATTTTGGAAACTGTGTGCCGTGATACGAAATTGGCCCACATGTTTACATCAGAAGGTGAGTTCAAATACTGTATCTGAAGCCAGGAAAGAGTTCTTTATGGCTGATAAATATATTTTGGATATAAAACTTTCCACATAGCGTATTTGAAGCATCTGTGTATCACTGCAATAGTTGAAATTGCCTAAATTACAGGTATTTGAGCTGAATCATTTGCTGGAGAATTGATTTGTGTCGCGTCGAACCTCTTAACTATCAAGTCAGAATGGTCAAATTACACTCAAGAGCTCCCCGAATTATTTTATATTTTGTCCAAAGTCTTATTTTGAAAGCTCAGAGATTGTTTTAAACGCGAAATGTCTTTTGCTTTTTGAAATGATGTGCCTATTTTAATTCAAGGCTTTCGATATTTGCTAATAAACATTGTGCTCGCGTAAAATCCTATAAATTTTGTAAATATTTAAAAATCTATAGAATATTCAAATTGCAATCCATTCAAGAACACGACCTCCCAATATATGTATTAAAACCCCATTATTAAGATAAAACGCTTTCAGGGTTGAACGATATTAACCCGTTCTAGAGGCCCGAAAAAGTGGTCTGGTCGTAATCGCCCGAACTTGACTCTTGCCTTATTGCCAAAATATTTATCTGATGAAACCGAAATTTATGGTTTCATTAATACAATACCTATAGTAGTCTGAAATTCTAGGGCTACTTGTGTTGTTGATTTTGTATCTTAGTTTGTATCATTGTTTATTTGTTGGGCAGGAGGCGTGTGTATTTCCCTTGCCACTTACGTTCCACGGAAGGGCAAAAATTTTATTGGTAAATTATGAAACCTGATGTTAGCATCAAAGGTCGGTGCACGCACTCAGACATGACAGGCCAAGTGGGCGGTTTTCAAACTCCCGGGGTTTGTCTGCAGGCGTTTCCTTCCTTTCTTCCTTACCCCGTCTCGCTCCATTTTTTGCGCGGTCTTTGGTTCCTTGTTCTTTGCTCCGAAACCTCCACGGAAACGCTTGCTACGCAGGCTATGCCCTTTTGTTACTTTTGAATAAACATTTTGTTAGCAGTCTCCGTGCCTCACGTGGAAGTAACACTTAATCACGGGCTCATATCTTATTCAGTTATGAATATCTAGTAAACTTTTCGATGTTAGTCGTTGCACTACATGCATACGCTTTAACAATGAGCCCAAGGTGTCCCCAGCCATTTAGAAACGACACTAACCGAAGAGGACATGGCGTTCCAGACCTTTCCGGAAGCCTAAAAATGTTGAGGAAAAGAGGAACTGGTTAATCGAAAATTGTACCCCAAAGTCAACAAGTGCAGTGAAAAAGTAGTCTTTGAAAATATTGTTCTGGAATGGCCGAATGGTAGGTAGACAAAAATCCAGTGCTCGAAGTCTTGAGTTCAACGCTTAGACACTGCTATAGCCAATATTACCGCTGAGTGTGTCTGATTAAATTGGTGAAAAAACAAAGTTTACTTTTGTGCAATAGTAAATTTACTGCGTGTGTTATTTTGAAAGAAAATTAAATATTTACCCAGAATTTGTTGTGAAAGTTGCTGTGCGAAAATTAATATTCATAAGTAACGTGCAGTGACATTACCACATACTAATAAGGGCTGGTTTTATCAGATATTGGCTGCGATCACATCTACGACGTAACTAAAGTTTAACTTAAGTTAGTGTCAAGTTACGTGATGTCATACCTAACTGTAGTTAGTGCTTTCGGACGACATTGCGGTCACACCACGCAGTTAACAACAGTTAGTTCTAATTAACCTATGTACATTTTTTGTTTGTTGTTTTTGGTTTCCCCCTTGCTTCATGCTTGTTTTTTTTTTTTCATATTTATATATGCTCATCTCGCACGTGCAAAAAGAAGTGTCACATTCTGATTGGTTGGTTGTTTGTAAACTTAAGACTAACCAACGAACCCTGCTTGGGTATAACTATAGTTAGTCTGTATTGCTTTGGATCACCTAGCCGTAAATTTCATAGTTAGAGCGAACAGAGAAGCGATCACATTACCGAAATTATAGCTAACTATAGTTATCCCCATCTTAACTATAGTTAGTAGCTCATATGTGACCGAAGCCATAATGATACTGCACGTGATGTATTATCGACCATTAATAGGGTAGGTCAATGGGGTTATGAATTATTAATAGCTTGTTTTAATAAATGAGAAAAATACAAAATGAACTGTAAAAGGTGCTAATTATCAGACAAATAGTTTTGCTTTGATAGAGTCAGATTGGGAGTTCAGTTTAGGTTTCTTTTCTTTTGTAAAAAAGCATTTCGAAAATTAAGCAATCCAGCATCCCACGACATTTCTTAAGCAGACTGTCCACCTAAATTCGGGACATTTTTTTAATTCGCCACTTCCACATTTTCCATAATACACCTTATTTGGCCTCCTAAAATTTTTCAGAACCTTTGTTTTTCATTGCTCCCGGGTATTACAGCCGTCTTAAGAGAAACAATGCGTAAGCAAAAATTTGGGGAGCAAATAAGGTGCATTGTGGAAAATGTAAAAGTCGCATCTAACCGACGAATCACGTGAGCACCGAGAATGCTAGAAAAGTTTGAAATTTGGATGCTCTGAAACGCTATTCTTGTGTGCTTAGAGGGCGATATCTTTTTATATATGTAAATCGATTGTTATAATTGTGCCTATTTTTATTTGCGTGTTTTTGGCATACAAATACTCGATTTTGTTTCATATTTCAGGCGGTAAATATATGTAAGATTTTGGGGTATCAGATTCAGCTAAGTATACTCTGTTAGGTGTTCTTGTGTGTTTCACAAGAATTTGTTTGAAATGTCAAAACAGGTTTCAAAATCGGGATTTTTCCTATCCCGATCGCATGTTAATCGGGATTCGGGATTTTCAAGCAAATTCGGGAGAATCCCGACAAGACTGGGATGGTTGGGCAGTCTGCCCCAGTTCAGGATGGTAAATTGGTCACGTAGATCTTTATCCGTTTGATTGTGTACGTCGCGCAGGTGTTTGTCAATAGCCGAATGTTTATGTTTGTCAATACGTTAAAAAAGCTGTCGGCACCTTTTACACTTCATATTGTATTTTTCTCTTTTAATCACATGCAACTAAACTTTTGCACGCAACTCCCTATACTATGAACTCACGGAATAAAAAACTACACGAATTTGAAAATGATGACATGGAGTCATCGAAACCGGTCATTCATTGCTATCGCTAATTTTTATTCTCAAAATCGTATTGATCCGTTGAAATCTGTCATTATTTGAACAGAGTACAATGTCTTCAAACTGGCACAAAATTGTGACTATGAAAAAAGACAATGCGCAGATAGCCAGTGTCCGTAAAGCGGGGTTGACGATGTATGAGAGTTGGTGGTGAACTCCGGACGCAGAGAAGTGCCCGTTGTCTCTATTAATCGGAGGAAATAGCAATTAATTGCCTCTAATCTCTCGCGCTTGCCTATCATCGAAATATTGAAACGGACGGCAGAAATCCCTTATTCATCTAAATTCTAGCCAAGAGTGCAAAACCCTTGGCATTTGCATCCTTTCGTTCCCCAAAACGAGTCATTCAAGGCACCTTTAAGATTATATCCTCTCTCTCCTGATATTACTCGGCTTCAGACAGACTTTCCCTGTCAATTGAGTCGAACAATGCCCAGCATTGTAAATATCAGTTCCATTTCTCAGTGGCAACGAAGCAATAGGCTAACACAAGGGAAACATAATTTCAGCGATAGCAAATTAGTCTTCATGGCCTATAATACTATTCATGTTTATCTTAAGCGAACAGTCTGTGACAGTTTAATCCAGTTGTTCTGATCTTGAAATGGCGTTATGACGAAACCGAAACGCCGTTCGATTTTATCGATCTAACTTGACTATTACTTGCTAATTTAGAACCAAACCTTTACTTGTGTGGCCTAAACCACTGCTAAATACAATAGTTTTCGCCAATTTTTGATGCTTTAAAACTGAAGGGTTTAATATAAATACCTTTGACACAAAACCAGCAGAGAACACACAAGAAAACTGTTAAAATCTGTTGATACAATAACACGTTGACAAAATATAAATAATTGGAAAAAGGACATGGATTTCTAAAGAAATTTACTGTAAAGTTACCTCGTGCATGTTTTCCTGTTGATGGTAGAGGCTTAGTCTTGGCGGTAATAGATACAAAATAACAATTAATTTTTTTAGTAGATTTTCGAATTAAGTCGAGTTTTTTGTTATGTTAAAATGTCATTGCTGGAAGCCAAATTCAATAAGACATATACTCAGCTAGTGCCCCGCAGAAATCTATTTCGACAATCTGGCACCTTCTTTGTTTCCTTTAGTAATAAAATGTCGCTTCAAGTTTCCCCCCTTAGAGATGTTAATACGTTCAACAAACTGAATAAGGCTGTTTCACAAACATATTTGATAATGCCAAGATTAAATTTGTTGGTAAATGAACCTCACCAGGGTAACAAAAGGTTAATATTAATGAGGAAGAAAATCAAGGAAATTAATTCAACGGGGTCGATTGGAAAAACTAACCCT